ATTGAGCGTAGATGAGAAGAGATGAAATTTGAAAAATCTAAGAAAATTGCAAATAGGTCGATCAAACAGTAATACTAGACCGAAGGCTGAAGTGAGAGAGAGAGAGAGAGAGAAAAGTAATAGACAGGTAAAACTTAAAAAGGATAAAAACAAGTGCTACAGATGAGGCACAATAAAGGTAAAAGGAAACAAAATCCCCAGATATCACTGTGTTGAAGCAAGAAGTAAGGGTGGCATTTGCAGTAGTTTGAATAGATTCTTTGGTAAGCATTATTCAAAATCACCGGCATCAGCTATAACTTGTCCATTGTGCTGAGGAATGGCAATGAAGAGGTGTGTCATCAGGCGCAGAACGAGATAAGGCTGCTGAAGTGAGCAAAAAGTGCTGACCACCACTACCCAAGGCGAATAGAATGAAATATATAAAATGACCGGTCACATAGTTTTGGTATCGAGCCAGCGATTGATGGTCATTCGATATCAACATTTGATAAAGCTCTGATTGAAGAAGTTTGTCTAGCTGGTGTTGCTGTAAAGTTGCTTCTGCTGACTATCGGTTGAAAGAAAAGCGCGCACAAACGATGAGGTGAATGTGAAGCAACATGAACATATGCTCTAGCCATGCTCAGTCGCAGTAATAAATTAGTCGATTGATGATGATGATAAGATGAATGTAAATGTTGTCAATTTGGTGTTTGTGGGTGAGAGGAGTTTCAGAGTTTGAGTGTGCTTCTTTGCTTTGGCGTCATTAGAATACAGCAGTTGTGGTGAGTTGTTGCCAACGGCTGAATTGACACACCACGGTGATTCTCTTTAAAACTCGCACTTGGAGAGGTGTTCAGAGAAAAGGCGAGTGTCAGCCATCTGGGTCAGACCGCACAGGTGAGAAATGGCAGCGGCAAAGACGAATATGTGGAACAGCGTGTGCGAGTGAAACTGGTAAAGGGTAAAGTGCCAATTGATATGAGTAAAGTTAAGGCCAAGTGCTTAGAAACAAAACTTACGTAAAGGTCAAACTTTCCCGGGTAGAACCGCTCGGGAATTCGCAGTGCGTAGAAGAGCACCCCGGTGATGTAAAGCGTGGCCATGAGGAGAATGAAGAAGACGGCGCTCTGAAATGCGGTGCCCAGGTGGGCGACGCCGCCGTGGGTGACGTACCAGTGGACGGCGGGGATGACGCTGGACAGGGCAAAGGCGGTGAAGACGCCGGCTCGCACCGGGCGGTACTGCGACTCGGAGAACTTGTCGAAGAAGGAGACAATCAGCGAGGCTGCACAGAGCACCAGTGTAGCGACGATGTAGATGATCTTTGAGTAAAAGTGACAGTAAAAGCCGTAGTAGAGACAGGGCACTATCGAGCCGGCAATCAGCAGNGCACCAGTGTGGCGACGATGTAGATGATCTTCGAGTAAAAGTGACAGTAAAAGCCGTAGTAGAGACAGGGCACTATCGAGCCGGCAATCAGCAGTGAAATGCCACAGTAGTCCAGTCTGGAGAAAAAGAAAGTTTTTAAATAAGATCAATGTAAATTTAAAAAACTTTCAAACCCCAACTTACTTGCAAAATAATAGGCACACTGAATGCGAGTGACAGGACAGAGTGTGGTAGCAGGCGGAGAAGCCGAGGCAGAGAATGGCCGTGGTGAGGAAGATGCCCAGCATGATCTTGTCGATGGTGTCCACGTGAGCATATGAAGTCCACAAGAACATGTAGACGCTCGTGATAATGAAGAAAAGGCAGCCCACCCCGTGAGTCCAGATGTTCAGTGTTTCCGTATGCAGTCGAAAGATGGACCAGAAACAGGCCTGGAAGGAGGCGAGCGGCGGTCGGTGACCAAAATGCAAGTAGTCATTGTCCTGCAACCACTTTGGCAGGTGCGAAAAGTGGCAGACCTAAAGGGATGAATGAGGGTTAGTGCTGTGAAAGAGGAAAAAGGTGCAACCAGTCATCACTTACATTCCATGCATTATGGAGCATGTTCATCATGGCGTGCTCTACATTTTCGGTTCCCTCAATCACCTTGAGCATCAGCTGCTCAGCGTGAGACATTTTACGCTGGCGAATCTGTGGCGGGGGCGAGCTTTGGTAGTCATCGTCCTTGGGAGGCAGGCCAAAGCGAGGTCCATCGCCGTTGGCCATTGTCGGAGACGGCGAGTCGGGACTGGCGTTTGGAGGCATGGTCAGCAGGAGGTGGTCACTTGAAAGTCAGTCTGAAAACATGACAAAATAAAGTTAGTTAATACGATAAAAAATCAAAGTTGAATCTCTAAATTACAAACTAGGC